CTCTCTCTCTCTCCTCTCTCTCTCTCTCTCTCTCTCTCTCTCTCTCTCTCTCTCTCTCTCTCTCTCTCTCTCTCTCTCTCTCTCTCTCTCTCTCTCTCCTTTTTCTTCACACTTCTCCCGGTTATTTATTTCATGGAGCCGCCCGTTCCTCTTTGTCCCGAAATGGACAAGTTTCGCTCTTTCTCGGATCTCGCATCCTTGACGCGGGCGCGCTGCCATAATCCGTCGCGTACACACCGAGGACGGTCTACATATTTATTTATCGATCGATTCACATATAATACGGGTGTGTCCTTCAATTGTGTCGCGATAATTGACTGAATCGTTCGCTAACATTACGAAACGTTATAGACGAGGTTGCTTCAGCCACGCGCGATAATGCTACTCCGTGGTGCCGCAAGTTTTTGCCTTCCGATCGCACGTAAGGTAACCCACCCGCGCGAGTTTTCCCGCCAATCTCGCCCGAGATCAAAGAGTCGCGAACGTCGAAACCTTCGTCCCGTCAACGGCTCGACAAACAGCTTCGTCATCCTCGTCATCTTCTGCCAACTTATTACCCCCGGCGCTATATCGAGTCAAGTCGGAGAGCCGTCTCTCGTCCCTCGATAAATCTCTACTCGCGTTATAAGCCGGATCCAGACGAACCGACTCGCCAAGTATACCCGACCACACATCCACATCGTTCACCGCACACATCCGCCGAAGATATACACTCGATTTCGCACTACAGCTCGCCTCGCGCTACCCGCGAGCGACTTGGCGACTACACCCTCCACAGCGCACGGCGGGATACGCGCGCGAAAATCCATTGCGCGACGTCAAATCGAAAGTCCACCCGTCCGCGAAAGAGAAGAGAGCGAGAAGGGAAAAAGATCGAAAAAGATCAATTCCCTCTTGAAAGGAAGGAGGTGGATCTCTTACCTTGAAAAATTTCTTAAGCCTCCGGTAGCCGCGAAGTAATCGCGACACGTACTGCTTGTTGGAATCCAGTTTGATTGATTGAAGCCACAGTTGCGGGAACAAAGATGAAGGACCGAAACCGAAATGACGGGGGTAGTTGTAGAGCGGAGTGGAAGAACTTTTTTTTCGCTTTTTTTGTTTCTATTTTGGTCGCGGGGAAATAGATGCGATGTAGACGGATGTGTGAAATGTGTAATACTCGAAAAGCGGATCTGTGTCGCGGCAAGAGCTGCTGTTGTTGTTGCTGCTGTTGTACGATCTGACTATTGTTGATGGTCACGTCGTCGCGGTCGCCGATCACCGACTGCGTATTCCCGACGACAGTGTTGTTTCTCGCGGGTCAGCTCGAATAGTACATATGTATATTGCCGTACGTATATACATATATATATGAAATATATATATATATATATATGCATGCGCGGGAACCGAAGAACGAAAAACACATTCGTGGCCGTTGAGAGCCGTTCGCTTACTGAATCCGACGGTTGGCGTGTCCGGGCTGCTAACCCGCGCTTTCTCCCCACCACAGATTCGCCCGAGTTGGCGGCAAGCTTCCCCGCCACCCCACTCCGAGCACCGACGATATTTCCACCACCAACGCGAGGGTCCGCATCCGGGAGCGATGGTGGGGCTACGTGAGGGGTAACGCTCCCCGTTCTCCTCCACCGGTCCATCACCTCCGCCGTCGCAACGCAGCTTGGCGCGGCGTCGCGTCGCGCCACGCCGGTAATCTCGCCGCGGATCGTAAAGCACGCTTGGCCCTGCGGTCAAGTGCGAAAATTGCAACGAAAGCACCGGGACGCGAAGACACCTTCTCTCTCGGGTCGCTTCCTCGCGTCGTTATCCCGCATTCCGCGCCGACGGGCCGACCGAGATGCGTCGCGCGCCGAGTTTCGCGAAAATGTTCAAATTTATACGAGTCTCGCGTTAAACGCGAGATTAATGACCTCGGCGAGTGCAGCTGCCGGTGCGGTTGACGAAGCGCGCAACCTGAAACGCATCCCCCCGTACCGAATTCCAAAAGCCGCGCGACGACGAGCCCTGTCGCTCGACACGTAGGGCGGCGTAAAAGCGAAGCTCTCGCGCGCGCGGCATGTCCGCCCCGATACCCTCGGCATTATCGATGGTAAACAGCGTCGACTGTTTGTCACCGTCGCCGTTTCGCTCGCGACGACTTTACGTTGCGATTTCGAACGAGCAAGCGGAGGGGAAGCGTGTGCGCGCCGCCGTGCGATAGTAGATAGGGGGTAGGGGTCCGCCGACGGTTTCGCGCCCGGCGCGACGGACGACGGGGGGGAAACCAGGGAAACCCCACGCACGGCGCATGCATCGGTCGCGCACGGTTGGTGGGGTTCCTCAACCGACGGCGCCAGGATCAAGCGCCCTCTCCTCCTCGCGCGCCTCCACTCCTTCCCTCTGCCCCCGTCCCGTGTTCCCTTTCCTGCGTCCGGCAGCGCGCGGCCAGCCAGCTCCTCGTCGCGTCGATGCACTCTCTCGCCTTGGAAGGGAGTGCACTGATCACACGACGGTGCCCTCTCTCTTTGCTCTCTCCCTCTAACCCTGCCCCCTCCCCTTCTCTATCTTTCTCGTTCCCTCTTTATCCCTCCGACTCGATGTGTTTGTTTGTTTATAGTCGCGTTCTGGGAAATACCCGATACGCGAGTAACGGAGTCTCATACACACGCCGCGCCGCGCCGCGCCGTGCCGTGCCGTGCCGTACCGTGCCGCGCTACGCCGCGCTGCGCCGCGCTAGGCTGCCGCGAGCGGCCGCTTGCATTCCCATTCTGAAGTTGCATCCGGTCGGTTCTCGGATTCCTCCGAGACTTCGAAAAGCGGCCGGTTGGTGGTACGCGACTCCGATTCAAAGAGAGACTCGAGTCAGAACGGACGCTTCCCGCTCTTTTTTCTTCCTCGCTATCTGCGAGCACACCAAAGCCCTTTCAACTTTTCCTACAGTGACGGAAAAACTTTTGAATAAAAAGTTCTGGAAAAAATTCTTAGACAATGTATTTTTCACAATAATGATCTCAATGGACCAGAACAGGTATTCTTAGACTTTCTAAGAATGGACATAAAAATAACAGGCAAATTTCGTTTGAAGTATCAGGTCTATTAACTTTAGACTTTAACATGGTCATATCCTGTATGTCGCCTAACACATTTCCAGCTCTCCTTATATCCCGACACCCCGTAGTCCAGTTACTCCGGATTCGCGCAAGCGCGTCCGCTTATAATTTATTAATATAGACGGAGCGATCGGGCGCGCGGTCGCGATCGTCGATCATCGTCGATGCGGCGGCCGCGCGCGTTCCCTTCCGTAAATCTTCCTGACGCGCCGATAGATAACCCTCTCTCACTGCGAGTCGTGCGGTCGACGAGCGCGCGGGCCAGAAGGCGTGTTACGGGATCGATACGTATGGGGAACGCCGCGCTGCGTCCGTTCTATCGACTGGCATTTCTGAAAAGTAGTCCACCTGTAATCTCAGGAATGCACTACGTCAGCGCGCGCGCACTGGCAATCCGTCGTGTGCGCGCATATGTGCGCGCGTACGTCTGTCTGCAGATCGCAAATATTGTACAATGATGTTGCGTAATGACGCGTAATGGCGACGCCGCGTGACCTGTCGGAGAATATGTAGCACGAAACCCAAATGACGCGCCGAAGACGACGATTAATTAGGAGTAACAACATGAAAATTCGTGCATTTAATGTATGTATGTATATATATATATATATATATATATATATATATATATATATATATATAATAA